AGCCGCAACTCATCTTGTTAGTAATTCCTGATATTACGAAGGATAATGGAATTTCAGTACATGTACGAAATTATTGGACTATTCATATAGCGAACTTTTCGACCGCCATCCTGAGTAATCTGTGTTAAATTATCTAATGAATTGAACGAAGTTGAATAATAAAATTAAACGTCAGATCTCACATTTTTGCTAACCCAGTTATTGATTTTTGATAGTCCACACAAAAATTAAAGCGTCGCCTGTGAAGTTTTAATGCATTGTCGTGTTTTTCTGATCCTAAATCAAAAGACCAGTCATTTTACCCCATACTGGCAATATAGCAATAGCAAATACATCAATACATAATAATATATGAAATCGAAATTAGGAAATTCTGATCCGAAAATAAAAATTTCTATTTTATCTTGGTATATAAATATTAATTCAATTCAATTGTCCTAATCTATTTAAAAAAATATGTAATATATAATATCTGAAGATAATATTTTTACATTGCACTTTTAATTTAAAATATTAAATAATTATAAATACCTAAATTGATAATTGCACGCTTAAGTGAAACTTTATTGAATATAAACGTTCTATTGAACAAGCTAAAATAGATTTGCTATATTAATTTGCACAGGCTTCTCTCATTCCATTTTCCCTTTTGCAAATGTACACAAAATAACAGATGCAAGAATAATATGGAAAACTTTAGGCAACATTTCACGCACCTATGCGCATTTCACAACAGAGTTAATAAAAATTTCAAATTTAATTTCAAAAATCTAAAAATTGCAACAGCGTTATTCGCGCTGATTTATGTTATGATATTGCTGTGCAAATTGAACGTTTGCGCACATAACAAAAGCCAGTTGCTATGTCATGTGCATACAATTTTGCACATTGCAAACTTTAAGAAATCGTACAGAAAGACAGAAATATAAGTTATAAGTGTTTATCCTGTCCGAAGGCGAAAATAGACAAGGATGATACTTGGTGCTTGGAGATATTTTTGCAGATAAATTTCATATTTTAAAATAAATACCTAATGTGATTTGAGAGGACACAAAATTTCTATGCATCAAATGCCACAAGATTTAAATTATTCAATAGTGCTTTTAGTTATGAGCCTTATTTAAAATACATATTTTGATTTTATTATATTCATACTCACTTATTTGCAATTCGCATGGTTATGATTGGTGATGGATAGACACCATGAGCCCAACAAAATACCCTTATTGTATCATCGTCCACTTTTTCTTGCCCCAAAAGAAGCATCGATTGAGGCACTGCAACAAAAAAAAGTTATATAGTGACAATATAAAGTAAAAAAAGAAAAATTATGTCCAAACTTATAAGATCATATCTTTCTTATTTTTTTTATTTTCCAAACATCTAGGAAATAGTTTTGAAGAATAAGTTTAACAAATTACATTTTTGATTCATTGTAAGAAAGGTGAGAGATGAGCGGAGTCTCTAACAAGGAGAACCTCAGGTTTAATCTTCTGGGATTATAATGAACCTTCGCATGGTCATACAGTTGATAGTCAAACAGAACACCTTAAAATATTTTAGGCCTATGAGAAGTAGTATAATTATAAAAATTAATTAAAGTTGCGAAAAACTTGCTGCGCTGTAGTGCATATAACACTTTGTAAGAAACTGAATAAGTTTTATATCACTGATATTAAATTAATCGTTCTTTCTAAAAACAATAATAAATATTTGTTGTCAAAACAACAAACTAGTGGGGTGTATGGCATCGTGCCTTAAGGCAAATTGCTGGAACTTCCCGTACCGTAACGAAATGTTCGAGAAATACTGAATGTTTTCAAATAGATTATTATAAATATTGTAACATTGTCTAAGACTTATAAGAATTATATAAACTGAATTGCAAAGTTGAAGTTATTTGTTTAAAATATATTAGAACTTAAGTCAGAATTAAAAATAAAATCTGATTTATTATCGATATACAAAAAAAAATTTTTTTGAAAAAAAAAATATTTGAACAAAATTTATTATTTAACCAAAATCAATTATTTTGTTAAAACAAGCAGAAAGTTCTTTGAATCATTTAAATCGGACGCTTAGTTCTCTCAAAAACTGCCACTTTTTTAACATTTAGCTCTGTATCTTCGAAATGACTGGGCCTACCTTTGCCAAAAACTGATAACCACTTCTCCCAATCATTGCTAATTGAATGTTTTTTAGATCATTCAAATCGGATACTCCGTTCTCTCAAAAACTCGATTTCTATTTTCTGCACTCTTTGTTCTTTATCTCCGTAACTGCTGAACCTGCCTTTGCCAAAAACTAATCAACACATCTCCCTATCAATAGAAATCGAATGTTTTTTGAACCACTCAAATCGGTTGATCCGTGCGCCCGAAAACGTGACCGAAAAATTGTATCCATACATACATACATACACACACACACACATGTCCATTTTTTCTGAGGTATGCCAAAATGTTCAGAAACCTTCAAAAGGTCGAGAAATGTAAAAATTTTGAATTTCGATTTTTGAACGATTACAATAACTTACCCCATGGGAAGTTAATATGTCTACTAGTAATTTTTTATCAATTTGGAATTATCAGAAACTATTACGAGTATTTACTATGGAAAATTGATTGCACAACTTCGAATTGCATCTGTCTGGTCTTTGTATTCTTCGAATATTACATCCACATAATTTTTAATAGGCTTTAAACGGGCCAAAAAGTTTTAATTTACATTTAAATAATTTATTAAGAACATGAAAACAGTAATATTTAAATAAATAATTAAAACTATGGCTATAAATCTTGATAAATTTCGCATTATTCATGAAGCATTTTGATAAAATGAAAGTTATAAAAATTCAATTAGTACCAGCGCAATATATTACATTACTGCGCCCGATTTAATTAAAAAGCGGCAAAGTATTGCATTTTTCACGTCGCGTAATATATTATTTAACCGGCTTTAGCAAACACGTGTTTCACACAACAAATGTGTAAATAATTGGCTCGATCTATACCTACAAATAAAATCATTCCAATCATATGATGCATATTGCAATCACCTCTGTGTCAATCAAAATCATAATTGGATTGCACCCATTAATACCAGAATACAATGGTTGTCTAAAATTCAAATTTACAATTAACGCAAAATCTAATTGACAACAAACTGCAGGTTAGTAATTAAGTACAATAATGCTTTTAATTATTTTGTGTTAAAAATGAAGTAGCATTTTTTGCAGAAAAACGTATAATATTTATTTGGGTTGTTTGTGTTAACTTTTGTTTTTGTAACAGTAATTTTTACGTAAATGAATTAAAACGTAAGTAATTTTTACGTAAATGTAACGATGTTTTCTTTATAGTTCAAATTTATTGAAGCTATATATATCAAAAGTGTAAAAAAGGACTGTTTTTTGTTAGAATTTCTTTCGAAGTTTATTAATTTCTACTTTTACTGTAAAGGTTAGAGAAATAATTATTTATTTTTAATTGTATTCTTCTTATTTTTTGAGCTAGTTTTATAATTGTGGGATCAAAGTAGACTGGAGTCATAATATTTATTTTTGTAAACAAATATGTCGAATTGCATTTTTATATAGTTGGAAATTATTAATTACAAATTAAATCATTTACACATAATAATTGCACCATTTAAAATTGTATTGATATTCTATGCTTATTCTTCTGTTTTAAAATAGTTTGATTCAAGAGTGAGTACCTATTTGTAAAAAAATGTTCAGACTAATTGTAAGAACATAAATATGAAGCTAAATGTTATCACCAGTTTCCATGACCAAGTGACTAACATGTGTATATATAAATATATATATATATATATATATATATAAATATATATATGTGTGTGTGTGTATAATTATATCTTAGTATGTATATTCAGCAGATATAATTAAATGTCAATCACTTTAGTTTAGCGGTCCAGCTCAAAGCACATATTGGTTTTGTAATTATGGGTTCAACTAGCTTATTGTCTAAGAGAACGATTGACATTATTATTTCATCAATTATGACATATACATAATAAAAATGTTATAATTATAAAATACGATAAAGTTGCTTGAAAAACTCGAATCCCCAAATAAGATTTTAATTATGATATGTGACCTACATCAGCTTGTTTAAATTAAGATTCAGAAAAATAATTTTTATCTAAGTGTAAAACACTAATATATGAAGAAATGATATTACGAGGCGTTAACAAAATATTTTTAAGACGAGTGTTAATTAAATGTATAAAACATTTCAAAGTTTTTTTAGCAGGCATCAATCTAGATTAGTGATGTTCCAACTCAAATCAAGTGATTCACATCATTCCAATCCAGCCCTTATCTGGTTTGAATCACATTTTACTTAATTAGAATCAACTCATATCAGGTCGAAAAATATTTGTAATATAATGATAAATTATAAATTATATATTTATAATACGTAGCATTAAAAATATGTATAATATTTAAAAATGATAATATAATTAAAGTCATACTTCAAATATGACATGATCGGTTTGTCATTGTAATTAGCATTTAGAAATAAACCTTCACTAGAGAAATGAAGTAATTGCTGATTATTAAATTCTATAATATTCGTTTACATAGTGGATTACGTTAAACGACGTCTAAACAAATATTGTTTTCGCAACTTCACTCATCATGGAATTGTGTTTGAAGAACTTCATGTATTTAAAATTAACATACATTCATTGACGGCTTGTATTTTTTTTACTTTTTCGCTGGTGATATAATCTCATTCATTGAACAGCTATAATATCTGTCTTGCCTAAAAATATTTTCCATTTTAATAACTTCAAAGATTTATAGAAACTACGAATAATATAGAAATAATTTCTAATCAATAAACTTACTAATCATTAATCTTATTAATCGATATTTTCAAGGAACAGGGTAAAATATTTTTTTTATTCAAGCATTTTTCATTAAATCAAGATTTGTACTACGATGTAAATGTAATAATAACGTAAAATAATTTTATTTTTTCTACTTCTGCATCTATTAAAATATCATGGACTAAAGGTAAATATTATTATCTATATTATCCAATATAGTGACTTAAACTTCATTTTCCTGGCTGTAAAAACTAATCAGACAAGTTGAAAACATAACATGATGTGTGAGAAAACAAGGAATGAATCACGCGATGTTCCTCGTCGGCGGGAGACTCCGTCTCCGGTCATGTAATTCCATTATCAATCAAACGCCCGTCATGTCGTTTCATGATGTTTTGCCAACTAAGGGAGACATTTCGTGTTCAGCACCGTTTTAAGTAAACGTCAACTGATAATTTATTAGAATTGATAAAATAACATTATTAATTAATATGCTGATACATTTCTTAGATTATTTTCAATTGCGAAAGAACGCCTGATTTGGTTCATGTATTGCATTACCTACAATGATTTAACGTGATCTTTTTGGATAAACATAATTATTAGTCTTGATTAGTAATAAAAAAATGAAGTTACAAGGTAGCGCTAGTTAACACTTTTATGGACATGACAGTTATATATGCCTGACGCTAACGAGTTTTACATGAGCCATGTCAGACATGTATGTCTGACATACATGGTTTGGTAGAAGAAGAACATAAGTTTTAATATAGAGCCATGTCCATCATATTAGTGTGGCATGAAAAATAGTTTTTTTTTTCAGGAATTTCGGTAAATTTTCATTCTCTGATCTATCATGTTTTCTTGATACATTTTTAACTAAATTATCTAATAATGTCACAATAGCCCATATGAAATTTTCTCTGATATTACATAGTTAATGATGACCAAAATGTAAATAAAATAATATATGTACTGTACTGTGAACATTATTGCAAACACTATAAAATATACTTTACTCTCTAATCTACATACATTTAAAAGCTGCTAAAGGTAAACTAATGAGTAAAATACCAATCACAAATCAATTTTATTTACTTTATATATCGATACTTTTCCCCGCATATTAAAAATAAGAAAAATGATCGTCATAAACAATTATCAAGACTAATATGACAAATTCATAAATATAGTGTAACAATTTTAATGCAAAAAGGCGTGATAAAAATGGTCTTTATTAAAAGTTATGATGAGTCATAGTGGAATATTCGATAAATTAAATTTAAATTAGTGTATTGCTGGAACTTCCCGTACCAAAAATTATTAGTTTTTAAGAAGATTAACTTTTGAAAAAAATTTACTCTGAAAAAATTAGATTCTTGAGAAAAAAAGACTTTTTGAAGAAAAATTTATTTTG